ATCAGAGCAAACACAAGTCTTAAACATTATGTACACAACACAGATCAGAGCAAACACAAGTCTTAAACATTATGTACACCACACAGATCAGAGCAAACACAAGTCTTAAACATTATGTACACCACACAGATCAGAGCAAACACAAGTCTTAAACATTATGTACACAACACAGATCAGAGCAGAGCAGTTACACTTCGAAAACACTCAGGTCGGAGCAACTACGTAAACAAACAGGTCACATCGAGCAAACACCGGGAGTTTCATGGGAACACATGGGACATTAGACAGTCGACAGGTAGTTCAATTTACACTTTCTGTGTGATATCCGTAGAAGACAAGGGCGAACAATAGGTACACGTGGACTGGACGAGTTCCAAACATCTATATTATCACCATATCCAGAAGGATTTTAATGAAACCACACTTCTTTTAACTAGGCAAAAACAGGCTTTTCATAAGACGGTTGACATTCCACATATTTACAATCTTTAATCTTCCACGGTTTCAAAGACTCTCAAATTTCCATATCTTGTTGGAGATATAATGAAATGTCCCAGAACTCCAGAAAGGACAGCCAGCGTACATGACGAGGCACGAACATGGCAGCAAAGCACCGTCGGGGTGGTTGACCACTGATGCCTTCTCCGGTCAGCCTCAAGGAGGAACAACACCCCAGGAAGATGACTATGTTTTGAATGTTATCACTCACAGAACATCGCAGTGTAGTTTTTTTATGTAACATATTTACAACCATTTAGTTCCAACGCAACCTTATCGGTCCTAGCCCAGACTTTTCGGCCATGTTTAGAGTTTCCTTCATCAACATCTACAATATCCTCCTCTTCCTCGCTGTAGTCCGCTGGTTTTCTCTCGGTAACGGGGCTTAGACGGACAGTTCCTGTACGTTCTGTAGACGCATGACTCTCTGATGGGTAGTAGCAGGTAGTATTGCTCTTGCGGCTGCCATTTCTGATCATACTCTCTCCACCTCTTCGCCGGTTGCCGCAGCAGCACACACAGATGGCCTCGCGGAAGCCTCGGCGAAAGTGGCGAGACATAAAGCCGTAGACTAGCGGGTTGAGGCTGGAGTTGAGATAGGACATGAGGAACATGGCCTGGCGTAGCGGTTTGAGGGATCCAGTGTGGAGGTTGTCCAGGAGGCCCACCGCCACTAGTAGGTTGTTGATGAGAATTGGACCCCAGCAGACGGCGAACAGGACCACGACGACGATCAACATACGAATCACCTGGGGAGAGACAGACACAGCCGGATGTAGACCAGATGAAGCCTTAAGCTGTATAACGGCCTGAGGCCCCTACCGTTTTAAATTACACCAGTTAAGCTTAGAAAACTGTACAATGTATGCGCCTTTTAAATATATAAATCTTCTTCTTTTTCTTCTTCTTCTTCTTTTCTTCTTCTTCTTCTTCTTCTTCTTTTCTTCTTCTTCTTCTTCTTCTTCTTCTTCTTCTTCTTCTTCTTCTTCTTCTTCTTCTTCTTCTTCTTCTTCTTCTTCTTCTTCTTCTTCTTCTTCTTCTTCTTCTTCTTCTTTTTTCTTCTTCTTCTTTTTCTTCTTCTTCTTCTTCTTCTTCTTTTTCTTTTTCTTCTTCTTTTTCTTCTTCTTCTTCTTCTTCTTCTTCTTCTTCTTCTTCTTCTTCTTCTTCTTCTTCTTCTTCTTCTTCTTCTTCTTCTTCTTCTTCTTCTTCTTTCTTCTTCTTCTTTCTTCTTCTTCTTCTTCTTCTTCTTCTTCTTCTTCTTTCTTCTTCTTCTTCTTCTTCTTCTTTTTCTTCTTCTTCTTCTTCTTCTTCTTCTTCTTCTTCTTCTTCTTCTTCTTCTTCTTCTTTCTTCTTCTTCTTCTTCTTCTTCTTCTTTCTTCTTCTTCTTCTTCTTCTTCTTCTTCTTCTTCTTCTTCTTCTTCTTCTTCTTCTTCTTCTTCTTTTTCTTCTTCTTCTTCTTCTTCTCCTCCTCCTTCTTCTTTTTCTTCTTCTTCTTCTTCCTAATTTTTTTTTCTTATAAAAAAAAAAAATGACCATGACTAAGCTAATTATTGAATTCACTTTAAATAGGCCACAACAATTTAGAATAAATAAAAGCCTGAGATGTAAAACTCAAAAATAGTAATAATAAAATCAGAACTTCTGTTGGGACAATTTTACAACATTTAAAGAAAATTAGATAAAAAAATATACCAAATCCACACTGTATTTTTGATGGGGAAAACAGGAATTATAGGCCCCTGCAGACTGTGATGGCCTGAGTTGTTTACCTGATACCTAAATTCTACACAGAGGTAGCTGCGGTTACTTGATTCACCACCCGTTCTGGTAAATTAGAGTAGACTTAGTTCACCCAGCCTCTAGGTACTGGGTATCAGAGTTAACGCTCTGGGGTAATTGGAGGAACGTCGCTGTAGTTACGGAGTTGCGTGCGGCTGGCGACACAGGCAGACAGTTTCTTATCAGCTGTCCGTACTGGTGTCAGAGCATTTATGTTTTATTA